GGCACAATTAGTCGGTTAGAGATTGTGAAATAAGGTGGCTTCCGGCAAGTTGATTACTCGGTTAGAGTAGTAATCACAGGCTCACAGCGTATATTTGCTTTTCATGTAGAGATGGACTTCGTAATCTTGCCGTGCGGTCGCGTATACGTTAGAGCTTCAGTTAAGACTTAAGAGAGATGAAAGCGACGGGTGGGCCTGTTTATTCGAGGAAAAGAAAATCTTTAAGTGTCACATCGGATATTTGACTGGATGTTGGAAGGGATTTTCGGATATAAATAAGAAAACTAATTTCATAACTCGCCTGGAAACTGCGAGACGAATCTTTTGAGCCTAATTAATCCGTCATTAGCACACGTGGTTTACTGTAGCACTTATGGCTAATCAAGAATTAATTAGGCTCAAAAGATTCGTCTCGCGATTTTCTCTTTAACTGTGTAATTAGTTTTTGTTTTTTATCTATATTTAATGCTTTATGTATGTGTTCAAAGATTCGATGTGATGTTTTTGGGAAAAAAAATTGTGAACTAAGGCCCCGTTCAGTTCCCAAAAAGTTTTTTCCAAAAACATCACATCGAATCTTTGGATACATGCATGGAGCATTAAATGTAGATTAAAAGAAAAACTAATTGCACAGGAAGAAATCGTGAGATGAATCTTTTGAGCCTAATTAGTCTATGATTAGCTATAAGTGTTACAGTAACCCACACGTACTAATGGCGGACTATTTAGACTTAAAAAATTCGTCTTGCAGTTTCCAAGCGAGTTATGAAATTAGTTTTTTCATTCGTGTCTAAAAACCCCTTCCGACATCCGGTCAAGCATCCGATGTGACATCCAAAAATTTTCATTTCGCGAACTAAATATGCCATTAGACAGGGCTGTAAGCACAGAAATAATTCATGTGGCTCTTGATGGGCCCGGCCCGTCAGCCGGACGGGTCATACTTGTCAGGGTGCTTTTGTTGACCCCCACCGATTCGAGTTCGACTATTCATACGACGCCATCCAATCCATCCGATCCATAGCCGCTGTTCTCGAAGAGCATGATCGGATAAGCTAGGCTAGGGTGACGTTACCGACGTGCAAACCTACGACGACGAGGAGTCAAGGACTACGCAGGCGCAGGTGCGCAGCTAGGCCTACGCAGCATGGTCAGGACTCAGGACGGGGCGAGCGGTATGGCTGCGCCGTGATGCGGCAGGGCTTGGCCATCCCGTCCCGCCACAACGAGGAATCCCGAATCCCTCGCGTACACCCATGCACCGCACCAGCCGCCGGGCTGATCGGCAGAAGCCGACGAGGATAAGGCTTCCGCCTCTATGCTGATCGCGAGTCCCCGCGAGCCCACCCGCGGTGCGTCCGCGTCCTCGGCCCAATCCCACGCGCCTCCCGCCCTCCCGCCGCGCGTCCATGCCGCCGTGCCCCCCTCCCCCCCCCCCCCCCCCCCCCCCCCCCCGGGGCGCGACCGCGTGAGAACCCCGGGTAGGCGCGTGCGGAATCGCACAAGAAAAATTAACCGAGCGACGCGCGCGCGCGCACGGCGCACGGGCGGGGCGGTTGCACGAGGGGCCGCAAGTCCGTCCACACGGGAAGTCAAACAACCCATCATCAAAACTACCCAAACTATTAAACGATCGAATCAACCGGGAGTCCGTGCAAGAAGCCAAGAACGTGTACAAACAGCGGTCACGCGTAAATATCATCGGACGGTGAATCCGGGGATGGGTAAGAAGTTTGGCAGTACAGGACCGAAAGGGTTTCTCTCTCTAAAAAAAAGTTTTTCTCTCTCGACATGTCGATTGGACTGGAACGAGATGAAGAGACGGCGGTGGTTGTGGGGCTACGCCACCAAGCGACATGCGCAATAAATCCCCTGCTGGCTTGGCCCCTGTGTACACGAGGGAACACGCGGGGGCCCGCCTCCAGGCCCATCTGACTCAGCCCAGATTGGACTGCAAAGCCATCAGTCAAGAACACCGCGAAACCAAACCAGAAGCATATCAAACGCTTCACCTCACAAATCATCTTCGCTCCCACGGGACTACTAGCTCATCCGGAACACCCCGAGGGAGAAGAAAAAAAAACACCAGGCTGCAGGAGCAATGATTTCGAATGGCCCTTTTTCCATGTTTGCATTTTGCAATAGGGCTGTGTGTTTCAACTTTTTTTTCTTCAAACTTCTAACTTTTTCTATCACACTAAATATTTGGACACATGTATAGAGTATTAAATATGGAAGAAAAAAAACAATTGTATAATTTGTATGTAAATTGCGAGACAAATCTTTTGAGCCACATTTGTTAATGACGGGTTAATTAGGCTTAAAAGATTTATCTCACAGTTTACAATTTAAATCTGTAATTTGTTTTGTTATTATTCTATATTTAATATTTTAAATGTGTGTCCGTATACGTTAAAAAAAATTTAGCACTGAACTAAACATACGGTCCGTGTACGTTAAAAAAAAATTTAGCACTGAACTAAACACACGGCCTAGGTTGAACACACCGGCGCTTCACGCCAAACAGTACGGCTGTATCGCGCGCGGGGTAGCGAGGCGAAAGTTAGCGGCGAGATAGGCCATGTATTGGCCCGGCCGGGATTGCATCATGCGCCATATGATTACGTGCATGCTTGTGTGTAATGGCACTACCGTCTCGGCCGAGATCGATCGGGCCTCTAGAAAGGATCGGACGCCGTACGTCCTTGCATTGATTAAACTCACATGGACTCGGGTCCGCCAAATTGCGAGTTTTGACCTCTTTTTACACAGGTGCCCACCAAGTGCGCTAGATGACGGTACTGTCATAAAATCGTGGCAATTGCGCTTTTCCCCCTATATCGCGGCCCCGTCCTAAAATAAAACCATATTTACCATGTCTTATCTATCTATTATATTATTAAAGAAATAAAAAAAAAAGTCTCCACGTTCGTTCTCATGATCTAGAAATTCTCATATTAATTGAAGAAAAAGAAAAAGCAGAGTCCATATAGAAATACAATTTAGAAATAGCTGAAATTCGGAATTAAAAAAAGAAATATTAGAAGAGGAGACTAGAATCTATATAGAAATACAATTAGGAAATAGTTGAAATTCGGAATTAAAAAATAAAGAATATTAGAAGAGGAGACTATAGTCCATATAGAAATACAATTAGGAAATAACTGAAATTCGGAATTAAAAATAAGGAATATTAGAAGTAGAGTATAGAGTCGATATAGAAATATAATTAGAAAATAATTGAAATTCGGAATTAAAAATAAGGAATATTAGAAGTAGACTATAGAGTCCATATAGAAATACAATTAAGAAAAAGAAAGAAATTCGGAATTATAAAATAAGGAATATTGGAAGTAGAGTATAGAGTCCATATAGGAATTTAAAACTAACTAAAATTCAGAATAAACATAATAAAATTAAATGTAGAGTTTTGAGTCCGTATAAAAATACAATTTACAAATAACTAAAATTAAAAATTAAGAAAAACATGAAAAGAAGAGTTTAAAGTCAATATAGGAATATAATTTAGAAGTAACTGAAATTCGAAATTAAAAATTAAAGAATATTGAGAGATGAGTTTAGAGTCCACATAAAAATACAATTAGAAATAATAAAAATTCAGAAATAAAAATAAATAATATTGGAAGAAGAGCCTAGAGTCTATATAGAAATACAATTAGAAATAATAAAAATTCAGAAATAAAAATAAATAATATTGGAAAAGAGCCTAGAGTCTATATAGAAATACAATTTACAAAAAAAATTCGGAATTAACTAAATAAATATTAAAAGACGAGTCTAGAGTCCATATAGAGATATATATAATTTACAAATAACTAAAATTTGATATTAAAAATAATTAATAACTAACACGTATATAAAATACAATATAAATATTACACATTTGTAGTTTCGTAAAGTTATTACAAAATTTAAAATTATGATGTCATTTTAATATATTTGAATAATATAATGAGGAAACATATATGCTATTATATGAGAGAAAATATAATGATGCTAGCCGCGCAATCTGCGGGGGCCACCATGCTAGTTTATTTTAAAATAAATCTATCTCTAAATAACCATTACATTAAATTTTATAAAAGTAGGGGACAAATGCATCGAACTTCAGAACCCCAAGCTCTCATCCATGCCAGAAAAAAATGGGGGCTCTGTTAAGGGTAGAGGGGTAGGGCGGATTGAGTCTTCCGATATCTAAGTTGGACCAGCGTTGCCTGTGTAAGTGAGCCAATTTACCGACCATAATGTTAAATCCATAACTACTCTATAAATTATAGTAACTAATAAATAACCCAACCTTGCTATACGTACGACTCCTCCGTCCGACCAGTGTGTACGACTGGAACGGCTGAGCACGTCGCTACGCACAGCTTCTGCCTGAATTTCGTCAAGCTAAATCCAATGCTTGCTGTCTTAATATTCTGTTTTTGTGCATATACACACAAAAAAAGTACAGTGACATCAAAAACCATAAAGCATGAAGTGTACTGTACTGTCCAATCATTGCATAAAAATAAACATGCTAATGTCTTGTTTAGTCTGTCGATTGAAATTAGACTTAGCATTTCGAAGGGAAGGGCCAACAAGTTTGTAGGTTCTGCACGCCTACAGCCCACGAAGATCGACGTTCCGCACGTTAATGTTGCTGCGTACTCCGTAGTCGGACGATCCAGTCATGTGTGTAGCATTTTCGTAAATAACCAAATGAGCACAGCACAATTTTAGGCTTCAGCTGGTATTAACACACGATGTGTCTCTTTTACTGCCATATGTATCAACCAATCGATTTGGTCGGCAATCTACACCAGATAAAATGATTTTCCGACCATTTGAGCAATGCATCAAATGCCTAAGGAAAGTGATCAGGAATGACTAGAAATTTTAGGGAGGTAGTAGGAACCCAATCCAACCCACCATCGAAATGGTCCAGGTCCATTTCGTCCATCCCCCATCAGTGACCCGCTATAAATAATGTGCGAGTCCTCACTTTCCCTCACATCCGTGCCCTCTCCTTCTCTCTCTGTGTCTCTACCGCATCCCCTCCCTCTCTCGGCGAGCCGAATCCATGGAGTTCTACGTGGACGACAAGTGGAAGTTCTCGAAGAAGAGCCGGAACAATGGCAGCAGGCGCATCCCCGGCGGCAGCGGCGCGGGCGGCGACCCGTTCCTCAAGAGGTCGGCCAGCTCCAGGGACCAGGTGATCGGCCGGGGCCGCGTGGGCAGCGGCGGAGGCGGCGGGGCGGCCGCGGCGCCGTCGTCGTTCTCGAGCCGGTGCGCGGGGCTGGTGAAGGAGCAGCGGGCGCGCTTCTACATCATGCGCCGCTGCGTCACCATGCTCGTCTGCTGGAAGGACTGCTCGTAGCCGTGGCGTGGCCTCCCCCCTCCCTCCCTCCCTCTCGCCCCCCGCCGCCGGCCGGTACCGAAGATCTCTCGTCCTCGCCGCCGCTCCTCCTCCAGAAGAATGAGACGTGGCATCGAGAAGATGGCCAATTAGGTGAAGTATGTATAGATCAGAGAGTTTGATTATTAGGAGCCCTTTCCTTCCTTTTTTTTCTCCCCTCTCCCATCAATTCGTGGGGTGTTTCTTGATCATTGCTACTGCTTGATTAGTTAGTGATTAGCAGAGTGTTTAGTACTACAAGCTAGATGTGGTATTGTGCACAAGTTTTGGGATCTCGTCCTCCTCAAAGGAGCTGGGGATCTGGTAGTTGTTGAGGCTGCAAAGGGGGGAGCTGGGCGGTTAGCAGCTTAGCTGGAGCGAAAATCTAGTGGATCTCCTACTATTGTACCACTACAAGGCCGAACAGTTGTCAGTCACTACCCGATGTATAGCTAAAGAAATGAGACGCAACAAGATACACACAACTATTTTTTTCCTTCCTTTTTTTCTTGTCATGTTCCTTCTGCGGTTAACCGGTGGCGACAAGGATACGCTGCCTAAATTAAGAGAGATCCAGCTGAACACAAGAGGAAATGGAATGGACAGAGATGTGGATGATGGGGAAGACCAACGAAGGGCGAAGAAGAAGAGGAGGAGGAGAAGTTGTGGTGGTGAGGGGAATGCATTGGGATGAGCAAGGAAGGGCAGGCAGCCAGAGGCAGTAAATGGGGATGGCGACGGTGATGGCATCCTTTCGTTTGTCCTCACCCTTCTGGGACTGCCATTTCCGGCGTGGCCATCTGACGCCCTCCATTATTGCACCTGGTGCTCGCCCCCTCCTCCCTCTCCCTCGGCTCGGAGGAGGAAGCACGCACACATGCATGCGTCGTGTAGACGGCGAGGTAGAGACGACGACGACGACGACGCAGCTGGCTGGCTGGCTGGCTGCAGAGCGCAGCTAGCCTCCGCTCTCTCGCTGTGATCTGCAGATGATACAGTTACTAATTAATGTGCAGGCACATTACGTCAGTCATCCTACGCATTGAACCCATTGTTAATTGCGGCGAGCCAGCGAGTGAGCTGGAGCGGTGGTCGTTTGGAGCATCAAACAATGTGCCGCAGTGTGCATGAGAGAGAAGATACTAGCGAGGGAGAGAGATGGTGCCACTGCTTTGGCTCTGTCCGGATTTTTATAATTTAGGCCTTTCTTAAAATATATTTTAGAAATAGACCTTCTGAGAAACCTGTCGCAGAAAATGAACTCTAAAGTCGATGCCAGCGACCCTATGGCGGACTGATCATCCTCTCAAACTAGCTACTGATAATCATCATGGTAAGCTATTGCTTCCCGCCGAACGTCTTAAGGCAGCGTTCGTTCCAGTGAGTTTGAGAAAGAAAGCACATCGTTTTCCACGTGCAAGCTTCCCAAACTATTAAACGGTGTGTTTTTTGCAAAAATTTTCTATAGGAAAGTTCTTTTAAAAAATCACATTAATCCATTTTTGAAATTTAAAATAGTTAATAATAAATTAATCATAAGCTAATGACTCACCTCGTTTTACGTATCTTCCCAATCTCTTCAATCCCCTCCTCCTCAAACACACCCTTAGTGATCCATCGTGGTTAATGATACAGTTACTAAGATGAATGTCTTACACCCTCATCTGATCTCAATCCTCAACTTAGGCCCCCTTTGATTCAAAGGAAATTCATATGAATTTTAGGGCCCCTTTAAATCATAGGAATGAAAAAACAAAGGAATAGGAAAAACATAGGATTCTGACAGGAATGCAAGTGTAAAACAGAGGATTGCAAAACACAGGAAAAATATAAGAATGACTGTTTGATTGGGCCGCAGGAAAAACACAGGAATTCGAGGAGAGATAAAGACACAAATGATTCTTTCCATGAGGTTCTACCTTATTTAAATTTCCTTCAAAACTTGCATGGAAAAAGACAATCCATAGGAATTTCATAGTATTCTGTAGGATCCATTCCTTTGATTCAAAGGGCTATATAGGAAAAAATCCTATAGGAATGAAATCCTCTAAAATTCCTATGAATTTCCTTTGAATCAAAGGGGCCCTTAGAGGATTTCATTCCTATAGTAATTTTTCCTATATAGCCTTTTAAGGGCCCCTTTGAATCGCAGAGTAGAAAAAACGGAGGAATAGGAAAAACATAGGATTCTGACAGGAATTGAAGTGTAAAACAGAGGATTGCAAAACACAGGAAAAACACAGGAATGGTCGTTTGATTCGAGCGCAGGAAAAACGCAGGAATCGGATGAGAGAGATAGACTCAAAGGAAATTTTCCAAGAGGTTGGAGCTCTTGCTAAATTTCCTCCAAAATCTACATGCAATGTGTCATTCCATAGGAATTTCATAGGATTTGGAAAGCTTCAATCCTTTGAATCAAAGGGCCAAATAGGAAAATTTCCTATAGGATTTGAATCCTATGAAATTCCTACATAAATCCTTTGATTCAAAGGGGCTCTAAATCAAAAGAATGAATCTTATGGAATCCTATGAAATTCCTATGGGATGCCTAATGCCATGCAAATTTTGGAGGAATTCTAACATGAGGTAGAACCTCATGGAAACTTTCCTTTGAGTCTTTATCTCTCCTCTAATTCCTGTGTTTTTCCAGCGGTCCAATCAAACGGCCATTCCTGTGTTTTACAATTATCTGTTTTACAAGTACATTCCTATCAAAATCATACGTTTTTCCTAATCCTACGTTTTTTCATTCCTACGATTCAAAGGGGCCCTTAATGTAGTAAAAAAGGGAAAAAAATACATTTCACGAAATGAAGTGAGGAATCTCTGTTTATCAAATTTTAAACAAAATCGGATGTCTAATTAAAAGATCGTCTTGCATCCTCACCCAATCTCAAACTTCGACCAACAAAAATGAAAACAAATAAGGAAAAATATTTTTGTGTCAGTGTCCAGGATGGCCACGCTACCATAGAAATATTTGGTGCTGAGATGTTCAACTTTGGTACCAAAGGTCCTTTAGCACCAATCTACTACAAATTTATTTATAAAATAAGTTTTTGAAGAGGACCAGATTGTAAGAAAAATCCAGCTAGCTCTGTCCCATACGTTGCTGCAGGTGAACTGGGCACCCGCACACACACCACACCCCCGTCGTTGAGAGAGAATGCTTGCTCAGGCGCTAGCTACTCGACGGACAAGCGCAAAGTGTTCGACGGGCGTTGCCATCGCTCGCACGGCGAGGCCCGCCATTGGCCACCGCCATCGAGCGGGTAGCTAAACTTACTACTAGCTCCCTGCGGTTAGGCGTACGTTCCCCTGCGGTCACCGTCGCCTGTGCGCTCGTGCAGAGGCGCCTTGGCTGGCCCCCATCGATCGTCCTGTGCGCGTACGGACGACGTGTCGTCGCAGCCAACCACGACGACGGCCCGTGATGCAGCAGAGGCCAGGCCAGCCAGGGAGAGGGAGGGAGGAGCCCGGCTAGCTTCGAGGCGTTTCAGTACCAAATGCACCTGAAATCGAAAACCGCGCAGGCGCACTGTGCTCAAAATTCGCCAACAGTTGTAGTCGGAATCTTTACGAAATCTCATTCAGATCGATCCCCGCTGTCCACTCATGCTTTCGTTTCGTCCCGTTTCGACACGCACTTAAATTACCCCAAATCTCAGCAGCAATCACTTCCCTAATTAAGATATTCTCATTACTCCAAACAGAAATCTTCACAGTGCTAATTAGAGGGGCAGGCCTGGTGGTGATAAGAGTTAGAAACATGATAAGGACCTGACGATGAACAAGTAGGTCCAAAACTTTGGGCTCTTAAGCAGCAAACCCAGCAGGGATGTACAGGCATTAGTCTGCTGTTAGTGGTTGGTGATGGCTGGGGTTAGCGTGGGCCTTTGAAACTGTTGCGCCAAATTAAACGGTCCTCCGCTGCACTGCGCTCCACCTCACCTTCTCCTTTGGATCACGCGAAGCTAATTTTCTCTATGCCAGGACCCATGCCAGTTGATTAACTAGTTTACGATATCTAATCTAGCACTCCTGCCCCAGATTTCCCAAGGGACAAACCGAATCATCTTGCAGAATGTAGCAAAGTCAGGTCAAGACGTGCACTTTTAGGTTTAACCTAGATCAGGGCGACATGCATGGATCCGGGTTCCCTCGGTTATAGTATACTTCATACTCATACCAAGAGTATGGAAAATGATCTAAACAGTTTGCTATATATCTTTATAATCTCTTCACGTCATATCTAGATAGTAGCACATAGATAATCTTTATAATAAGGCTCGAAAACAATTTTCTTAAAAAAATAGTACTATATACATATATATATATATATATATATGTATATAGTACTATACACACACAAACACACACACTTATCCTATAAGTATAGAAACATACACTTACAAACACCTTCGAATAACTAAGCGGACTTATCTTAAGATTAACAATACTAGCATGGATATCTCGCTATCGACGAGAACTTCACCTACCATTAAAAATATATAATTAGCCATAAATGTGAACACTCATACCAAGCCTACTTGGCTACTTAAGACAGTTATTCCACTACAAGTAAGATAGTCAATTGAGTTACGCTCACTTCACCATATAATTAGTGATTTTATTATACATATAGTGTATGCAACTTATTTGTAAAACAACCCATCCTTCAGAACCGCGCAACCAACCCATTCGATGAGTTGGTCTACTTGCGTGTAGCATCCCACTTACGTTGGGTTAACCCATAAATAGTATAGTTGTAGGGACAATGTCTTATAAATTGGTTTCACTTTTTGATGTTGTACTAATCAAGTGCGGGCGACACTCATAGGTCGCATCGTATTTACTATGCCAGGATGTCAGAGCATTCTTTTTAGATTATTTGCTTCACGCTTCAAAAAATTACATACTCTCTAAGAAAACTTTGTTATGCTCCATTGGCTAGATCGATCACTTATTTTAAATTACTCCCTCCGTTTCAGGTTATAAGACGTTTTGACTTTAGTCAAAGTTAAATTGCTTTAAGTTTGACCAGGTGTGTAGAAAAAAATGGTAACATTTTTAACCCAAGATAAATTTATTATAAAAATATATTCAATTATTAATTTGATGAAACTAATTTAGTATTATAAATATTACTATATTTGTCTATAAACTTAGTCGAACTTAAAATAGTTTGACTTTGACCAAAGTCAAAACGTCTTATAACCTGAAACGGAGGGAATACTTACTAAATTTATTTATCAAAATATTTAACTTATCACTATAATTAAGTAGATGCACATGGTCTCCTTGAGCCATGGAATTTTCGATTGTAGTATTGGCTCTCATAAGCTCATATTGTAATCTCTGTGGTAGTAGGAAACTAGTAACCGTAGCGAAAAAACATCAACTGTGCATGGAGTTATTAAGGTTTGTCTATTCATCCATCATCACATAAAATCTTGTTAAATATCAGTTACTTTTAACCGACCAGGATTGCTTCTGGATATGTGCAACCCTTATCTTACCCCCTTCCTTTCCTCACTTATCCATCAATTCACTACGTTGCACCGCCCCGCAGTCACAGCTGGTTCCTCTCTTCATGCCCAGGCATGCCACTTCATTTCGTCTATGTTGTAGAGACTTGTTAGCCACTCCCTCCCCATTGTATTTCCGTCTCTCTCTTCCTCAACTCCGGTGAAGTTTCCGGCCTTTACTGTCCTCGTCTATCTTTAACGATTTGGCACTACACCTCGTCTCCTAACAACTATATCTGATGATAAGAATCTCTTGCCGCCAACACTATCCACCATTATTCTCCTTCCACAGCCATGATAGAGTCACCACCGCCAAACCACCTCCATTCCTCCAACATCCCTGTCATCCCTCTAAGTCTGGAGTTGGAGACCCCCTGTTCCCTCATCCCCCAACTTCATTACCATCCCAAACCCTCACCTATTGCCATATCATCGATGTATGAGGAGACACCAACGCTAAGGAGGATGAGACTATACTAGAGAATCTCGCATATAAATAGCCGATGAGTAGGTTTGACTAACACTTTCAGACTTTTTATAGTCACTTGGCAAGTAGCAAACACGTACTATCTCTGTTTTATATTATAAGTCATTTTGACTTTTTAAAGTTAAACTTCTTTAACTTTGACTAACTTTGACTAAGTTTATAGAGGAATATAATAATATTTTTAACATAAAAAATATCAAAATACATTTAATGTTATATCTACTAAAACTAATTTAGCGTTATTTATATTTTTCTATAAGCTTGATCAAAATTTTAAGAGGTTTGACTTTTAAAAAATTAAAACGATTTATAATATGAAGCTGAGAAAGTATGCATTATGTAGGTCATCTTGTCAGACAAAAAAAAAGATAACGAAAAAGAGCAGGAGAGACCACGATGCACCGCAAGAAAAAGGAGGCATATGCATCCAGTAGTAACAGCATGGCAGATGGTGGGATACTGTAGGACTATTACATCGCCATCATCGTTTTCCACGCGCACGCTTCCCAAACTATTAAACGGTGTATTTTTTTGCAAAAAAAAAATATAGGAAAGTTACTTTAAAAAAATATATTAATCTATTTTTGAAATTTAAAATAGTTAATACTTAATTAATCATGAACTAACGGCTCATCTCGTTTTGCGTATCTTTCCAATCTCTTCAATCACTTCTCCTCAAACTCACCATAAGAACGTTATCACCTTGTTTAGGGGCTGTTTGGTTTCCAGGGACTTATTCTAAGTCCCTGTCACATCGGATGTTTGGACACTAATTTGGAGTATTAAACATACACTAATTACAAAACCCATTTTATAAGCTTGGACTAATTCGCGAGACGAATCTTTCGAGTCTAATTACGCCATGATTTTGACAATATGATGCTACAATAAACTTTTGATAATTATGGATTAATTAGGCTTAAAAAATTTCATCTCGCGGATTAGCTCTCATTTATGAAATTAGTTTTTTTATTAGTCCATATTTAATACTCTAAATTAGCGTCCAAATATCCGATGTGACATGGGCTAAACAGTTTTAGCCCCGTCTAAACACCCCCTTAGTCCACGAGAGTGAAGCAAAAGAGCTCAAGTGCTTTAACACTGTGCTTCCCTGGCCCCTTCCCTCTCTGCTAGCAAGACAGTCCATGTGCCTGCACCAAACACTTGATGTGATGCACCTCTCTTTTCATGCCTGTTAGTAGTACGTACGTACTCCAGGAAGCTGTACTGGTAAGGATATAATCGCATATGCTTCGCATTACGATTGCCCTGAAAAAAGAAGAGGAAGGAAAGAAAGAATAGCAGCAACAAGCCAACAACCAATGAATGGATCAGCTGGGGGATCAATACGATGCAGAGAAGCACCAATGCCGATCATCAGTTCTGGTGGTCATACGATGCGTTCTTGTCAAGTTTTCACGATTCGACTCGTGCGATTTTGTTCTGAAGCCTGTGTGTGTCTCCGTGGTGGTGATGATATGTAAGTTTTGATTAGTAATTGTTTTCATCGTTTTGCTGATGAATGCTGACTGCTTTTGTACAGGTGGTTGCTGCTACTCTGATCGTGCTCGCCAGCCAAAACGCTTTTGGCAATGCTTGCAAAAGGCACCCTTTCTTGCTTTTGGTAACGGGAAACATTGTCCCCTAGCATCTCGGAATCTTTGATAATTCTCTCTAGCCAAAGCCGGCGCAAAATTCTGTCGCATTCAACTACCCGGTTTTTTTGAAACCGAATTCATCTCCGCCTCAGTTTGCGCCCTGCGCGTGTTACTTATGAACTGTGACGGAATGAACTGCGCCGGTAAAAATATATCACTGCCTCGATTCCCCTATGCAATATCGGCAGCATAGCATCGACAATCCGGCAGCCCAGTACGGTGTGCCCATCCGGACGCCGCCAAGTACCGAATGGAACGAGCCACCAACCAAACCCGCCCGTGCGCGAGGAGACCGCCGAAGATTTTCCTTCCCCCCGCACTCTACTCACTCTCGTTGCCGCACGGGGCGATCGGCCGGTGGAGCCGAGACCCCACGCAGCCGTGGAAACCCAGATCGATCTCCCAAGTCGTCACAACGCGCGCCGCGCGCGCGTGGAATCCCCAAGCACGACACGAAAGGCCGGCCGGCTCGGGCACACACATACGCACATGGACGCACGCACACGGTGCCGTGCGGTCAAACTGGGCCTCTGGCCGTGCTGAGCGAGCGTTGAGAATTGAGACGAGGAACCAAGGCTGCACCCGGCGGGGTGATGCGGTTTCGTCGTCAGTCGTCACACGTGCGCGTTGGGGAGGTGTAGCCGTGTAGGGGCCGGGGCAATCAACCGCGAGCGAGGCGCTGTAGCGGGCGCTCCACCGGTGCAATCGGAGGCCGAAACGTGCGCGCGCGACAGGAGGGGGGGATATGAGTTCCTGGCGGTGACGGCGACCGACGACCTTCCTTTCTCTCCGGAGGTGTGGAGGGGTGTGGGCTGGATGGGGATGGAGTCCAGTCCCCACTCCACTCCCCCCGGCGCCGAGGCATGCTCGGCACCGCACGTGGGGGTGGCTGGGCCCCGCGCCATCCCCTCCCACCGGACCTGGATCCACCTCGCCGATTTGACGCGCCCCCCGGCGTAGAGTATGTACAATCCTCCTCTTCGTCCTCTCCCCGGTGAGGTGTCGCGCGTCACGGACACGTAGTCGAGTCGAGACGAGACGACGACGACGCGCGGCGTGTGGTACACGGCGGGCGGCAACAGGTGCGGGGGAGCCAGCCCACGTGCGGCGGGTCCCAGCAGCCTCATGTCCCTGTAGAGCGGCCGCGGCAATACCTGCTCACGCGAACAACGACGTTTTTTTCAGCTTTCACACCAACCTGAGCACTGGTATGATCTCGTTTCGCTAATATCTTTTTGAGTAAAGTCCATCACCGTCTCTAAAATTTTACTGATGTATCATCTCGATTTCTAAACTTGCAAATCGACCGTTCAGATCCTTAAACTTGTTTGACTGTGTCATCCCGGTCCCTAAACTTGCAGATAACTTACTTGTTTATGTCCTCCAACTTGTTCAGTTGTGTCACCCCGGTCCCTAAACAGGATGGTCTAAAAACTTTCAATTAAAAAATAAATCATAACTTTTTCATGTGAACTCTAATAAAGACAAACTTTATATCAAAATTGTAGCCCTCGACGCGAGCTACAACTTTGTAATTGAAAAGTTTTTGAATTAAAACTGTTTAGGGTCCCAAAATATTGTTGCATGTTTATAGATTTTGAAATTTTAATTTTAAAATTACATTTTGGGAAAAAAATGACTTATAAATAAAAAAAATCAACTACAAAGTTGTAGATCGCGTCGAGGGCTATAAGTTAAATATAAAGTTTGTCTTCATTAGAGTTCACATGAAAAAGTTATGAATTATTTTTAAATATAAAGTCTTTAGACCGTCCTATTTGACCCAGATGATATTCAAATCCAAGTTTAGGGACCGGGGTGACACAACTGAACAAGTTGGAGGACCTAAACGAGTGATTTGCAAGTTTAGGGACCGGGATGACACAGTCGAACAAGTTTGAGGATCTGAACGGTCGATTTGCGAGTTTAGAGACCGGGATGACACAACGGTAGTACAAGTTTTAGGGACCGGTGATAGACTTTACTCTATATATTTTTCTTGCCTGATCGGCTTGAAAATCTGCCGGTGGATTCAGAAAAGCTTCAGAAAATCTGCTCGGATACCATACCACAGGTAGATCCATTCATCCATATGAATGTGCGAATATAATACTGTTGCAGATTGCCAGTAACTCAACTCTGAGTGTGCAAATATAACTCTGAACACCTGCAGCGACAGGGTGGCCATGGCTGTGGCGACGAGAGGGAAGTTGGTGGCCTCTTGGGTCTTTGACTGAAACCGTGCAGGCAAGATGCCGCAGGTGAGTCGAACTTGGGCACGTACAGAGTACGGCTTTGTTTAACGCTTGTCTTGGCGCTTTACCGTGGAAACTCTCCACGACGCCGCATACGTGATTTTTTTTTGGGGGTAATTGCATACGTGATTTCAATCAATCTTTTTAACGTGATTGTTCTCTCTTTCTTATATATGTAAGACTGTCTTTTTAGCAACTCAAAATGGCAACTTTTCTATTTTTCTTTAGCATAATTCCCAATATATTAAACGACGTGTTTTATGAAAAAAAATCCTATATAATTTTTTAAGAAAAAAACAAATTCTATTTTTAAATTCGTAGCAATTAATTATTAAATTAATCATTTGCTAATGATATACCTTGTTTTTGCGTGCCTGAGTTAAGCTTAGCCCAAACGCTAAGACGAACGAGGCCTAAGTATGCTTCTAGGTCCTGCTCCAAGTAAATAATACGGAAATGATACATATCGGGATCCCGTCGGGATGGGATCATTCGTCCTCGTTGTCTATCCAAAGAGAAGCGAGAGCTCAGTGCCTGAGCCGTGAGGAGAAGGTGGCTGCCGTCTGTCAGTGAGAACCTTCGGCATAGGTTGGGGAAGAGGACCTGCTTGGCGAGAGGAGGACGCGGTTGCTGGCGACGAGCCCCGCGCGATGAGCTCCCGCGACGTCGAGGACCTCGTCTACGTCGCGTCGCGGCCGCGCGAGCCGGTGGCGAGGGATATATCGACGAAGAGAGGAGGGGCGTCGGTGGCCGGAGCCAGGGAACAGAGTGACGTCGGTGGTCGGAGCTAGGAGAGGGAGGGGTGGTGGTGGTGGTAGCCGGATCCGGGGGAGGGAGCGGCGGCGGTGGTCGGAACCATGGGAGGGAAGGGGGGCGGCGGTGGCCAGAGCTAGGGGAGGGAGAGGCGGTGGCGGTGGTAGCCGGAGCCGGGAAAGGGAGAAGCGGCGATGGCTAGAGCCACGGGGAGGGAGGGAGGACGGTAGTGGTCGTCGACATTGGCGTCAGGTATGTCTAGTGTCGGTGATATGAGCCCGGGGGTATCAGGTTTAGAGGGAGGAGGCTGCCCCCCGACGCCACGTGGCCCTCCCCCGAAGGGAGTCAGGCCCGAGGTAGGGTGGCGGCCACTCCTTCCCCAAAGACTAGTCGGAGGAGGCTGCCCCCCGATGCCACGTGGCCCTCCCCCGAGGGGAGTCAGGCCCGAGGTGGGGGTGGCAGCCACTCCTTCCCCAAAGACTAGTCGGAGGAGGCTGCCCCCCGATGCCACGTGGCCTTCCCCCGAGGGGAGTCAGGCCCGAGGTAGGACGGCGGCCACTCCTTCCCAGAGACTGGATGGAGGAGGCTGCCCTCCAATGCCACGTGGCCCTCCCCCGAGGGGGGTCGGGCCCGAGGTAGGGCGGCGGCCACTCCCTGGCCGAGACTAGAGGGAGAAGGCCGCCCCAGACGCCACGTGGCTCCCCCCCGAGGGGGGATCGGGCCCGAGGTCGGGCGGCGGCCGCCCCCTCCCGTGACTAGGGGTCGGGCTCCCCCGACCCCCTCTATAGGTCACCACGTACGGTGGGTTAGGTGTCCACCTCCAGGTACCCACCTACCCGCATTTATGGCGTCTCGAGTGGTCGCGCCACGCCACATTTAATGCGGCGTGCAGTGCACTCAACCGGTCTGTGACCGGTCGAATGACCGATGGGACTGGCTAGTGCGCCTGTGCGCTGCTCGTGTGTCAGGCGGCGTGCAGCCTGACATGTCCCATCAAATAGTGATGGTGAGAGGTTCTCATCCTCTTATCCCAGCCGAAGTCGGTCCTCCCGCTCTGGTCAAAGCAAGGCTCCCGTTTTCCGGTGTAATAGGAGCCCAGAAGTCTTCACCCATTAAATGGTGACTGACAGGGGCACCCCCTGTGTCAGGCGGCAAGATTTGACAGGCCCAATCATCAAGACGACGTGTGCTTGGCTTCCCAAGCACAGAGACAAGACATGCATTTAATGCAAAGATTATAATACTTCTCCACCGGAGCTAGGTTAGGTTGTTGGGCCCATGTGGTAACCCCTTGAGGTATAAAAGGAGGTCCAAGCCTAGTGGTGGAGGGGGGGACTAGGGGGCGAACTGGCGCTTAGGTCTGGCAACCCCAAGCACTTGTGTTCTACATTCAATCAATCATGCACAGGAATAGGGTATTACGCTTCTTAGCGGCCCGAACCTGTATAAACCTCTTTGGTCTCATCGTCTTTTGGGGGGGGGGGGGAGGGGCTAACCCCCTCAAGATCACACAGCTCCGCTTACCAAATCCTCGAATCTCACTCGCTGCCCCTGGCCGAACTCACAAAGGGGGGCCTCACGGTTCCCTGGTGGAGGAGTTCATTCTCTGACATCTAGCTTATGATACCCAGTAGAAATCACTTGATATCTGGTAAGTATATTGCCTGATATCTCATAGGTAATGTTAAAAAAAAGATATCTCATAGGTATCACCTGATATCTCGCAAGTATCACCTTTTACGTGGTAAGAATCGCATGATACATGATAGGTATCACCTGATGTCTCGCAAGTATCACCTTTTACGTGGTAAGAATCGCATGATACATGATAGATATCACCCGATATCGGTTAGTACCGGTTATGTATTAGGACTTGATTACTAACTGGTATCATCCGTCCAAACATGATTCCGTTGTATAGCTACTCTTTAATCATGATTCTTTTAATCATGATTAAAATGATTCTTTAATAAAATGTGTATTAGAATATTATTTTAATCATGATTCTTTAATAAAATGTGTATTAGAAAATTATAATATAAATAATAGACTTGCAATGTAATTACAGAATGAGTTTTATAATTTACAATGTAATTACCATATAACTATATAAGTGTAGATAATTTATAGTATAAAAATGATTTGACTATTTTTTTTAACGTGACGTTCATATAGCTACTCTTATTGTTTTTTTTAATGCCCGGAGCCGTCGTCTAAGTAGAAGGGTTTACACTATGACGATAGGTGATAGCGAAGCGCACTAAAACCGCTTGGATTTTCGATCTGTTCAACAAAATTCATATCAAATTGTAAGTTTGGTTGAAATTGGAACGATGTGACGGAAAAGTTGAAAGTTTGTGTGTAGAAAAGTTTCGATGTGATGTAAAACTTTGGAGCTAAACACGGCGTTAGTATAATTTTTTTGTAAAAAAAAAAATCAAAATTCACCTGTTTTTGTCAATAACCAACTGGTTGTTGCGATAACGGACAATTGCGAATTATACTACCTCCACCCCTCTCAGAATATAATAATTTTTAGAGTTGAACATGCTTAGAAAGTAGGTAAAATTAAATGTTAAAAGGCTATGATTTGTTGAGAATGGAAGGTATCTGGAGAAATTAAATAATGAAAGGTTGTGATTGATTAAGAAGAGAACATTGATGGAGAAGTTATATTTTAAGATAAATTTTGAAGCCACAAATTATTATATGTGCATTGTTTTTAGAGAAGGGAAATTTTTACCCGGCATCTTCATCCAATCAGATATATGCAGCCATTTTAAATTAGGAACTTAGCCTATCAAACAGGTTGCTACTCCGATTAGGAACTTAGCCCTCAAATAGCCTAATATAAAATTCGCTCCTATGAAGATTTAAACTAAGTACCTTGGGATATTACATGTGCATAGGTTGACAGCTTGTAAACCTTTCATTGGATTATTCAACACACTCACACAGGAAAGATAACAGCAACGAATAATCCCAGGGGGAAAGAAGAGCGAGAAGCCACCTCCTCTAAGGCCTAGTTCTAGTTTAGTTCGTAACTTTTTCTTCAAACTTTTAAATTTTTCATCACATCAAAACTTTTTTACACGCACAAACTTTTAACTTTTCCATCACATCGTTACAATTTCAATCAAACCTCCAATTTTGACGTGAACTAAACACACCCTGAATTCCAGGCACCACCAATTCTACACGGTTACTGCTTACTACCAAGGTGTGAACAAGGTTTAACTCCCAGTTACCGGTTGGTTTTCTTCTGAAGGAGCAAATGGCAAACGATATTTGCATATACAACTACACATAGGCAGACACATACATTAAAGTAAGCGATTTGATGCACTGGAGGAACGAGTGATCAGACTTCAGAGGAGTACATTAGTCCGTTCAGAACTCAGAAGACATATATACATAGCAGTGAAGAAGATGTACAAAAATAGGCACCTAGCTCCTATAGCAGCTAACACTCGCATTCGCTCGTGCAGGGCTAAGCTCAAATCACACACTGACTGCAGGGAGCAAAGCGTCTTCCGATGTTGAACAGAGCGGAGATTTATGACATCATCAATGCTAAAGCATGAGCCTTGTAAAATACTGCTCAAACTCTTGATCGATCGTCAGCTTATTCTTCTCGTCTGCTCGATCGATTCACGTCCAGATGGGGGCACGCACAATATGTTAGTATCTGCATCTAGCAAACAATGCAAGAAGAAGAAAAGGAAGGTACTCTTGAATGCTCACCATGAATGCTATTCTGGCCTCTTGGCAATATGAGTAAATCTTCTATTCCATTCGAGTAAAGCTTCTCATCTATGACACCAGCAGCAGAACCATCAACATCACCACTCGCTAGATCATTTTTCATTACAACATCATATTGTCCTAGTACATCGTATGCCTCCTCTATGTCATCATCATATGGTAGCAGCATTAGACCAGGGTGATCATACTCCAGGTGCTGCATATCCCAACTGTCAGTATCTTTGGTGCCATTACTACGGGAAGAAGTGAAGGCATCAGATGAAATGTTGTTGCTTGAGCTGCTGGATGAAAATGCCTGGACCTTCAGCATTTTGTGGCTCTCGATTCCGTTTATAGAGTCCACTTCAATGCACCCACCAATAAGGCTTTGGGTGTTGTCACAGGACTCCAATTCTTCAACTCTGTTCACCATATCCATGTCATAGTTCCTGTTGACGAAAATACTGTTGCATCCTAAGCTTTCTGTTCTTGAAGATTCATCTTCCTGCCAAGCTAATCTGTTCCGAAACTTGTACTTCAGTGATGAAACCCTAGTATCACTCAGCTCATACTGAGACTTCCTTTTCTTATGAGGGCTTTCGATATGGTAAAATTTCTCTGAATTGCTGAAAGAAGAACAAACCGTAGCAATAATATCACAAACATGATCTTCATTTGTACATAAAAGTAACAAATAAAAAACATCATAGCAAACAAAAGAGATTATCAGATTTTTCTATATGCCCACATGAACAATCTTTGGAGTTTGGTGGTGATGTTAGAGTACATCTCAGACCTAATAATAACATAGTTTATAATGGGTCATCATAAAATAAACATAATCCAGTGTATCAGAGTGGAACATATCCTAGCTAGTTTCAGTCCAAAAGTACTGAAATTAGAGGCATGAAATTAGAAGATTAGGCGGTGATTGTCCAAATTAACAGTAATGCAGCTCAGAGTTTTTATGAGTTACAAAACATACTGCATATAAAGTTTAAGAAAAGGGTACACACCTAACATAGACGGATAGACCATACCGAATTGGAATTTACATCAACCAACATTGTTCAAACAATTTGGCACTAACTTCTTTACGTACTCCCTCTGTCCCAAAAAGTGTAATTCTAGCAATAACCTTGTGAAATTAGTATTTCTGTGAAATTACTTGGGTGCCCCTATTACTAGTACTCTCCACCTTATCACTACTCCCACCTTGCTAGTACTAGCACTCACCATAAACTAGAATTGCAATCTTTGTGGGACAAATTTCAAATAGTAGAATTGAACTCTTTTTGGGACGGATGGAGCTAAGGGTGTGTTTGGGAGTACACTTTCCCAACTTCTACTTCCTCGTTTTTCGCGTGCACATCCCAAACTGCTAAAGCGATGATTTTTTTTTTCAGGAACATTCTATAGAAAAGTTGTTATAAAAATCATATTGATCCATTTTTCAAGTTTTTTTAGCTAATACTCAATTAATCGTGTACTAATCTGCTGCTGCATTTTGCATTTCCGGGGGAAGGGTTCCCCTCCCCTCCCCAAACAAACACATGCTAAGTTGAGCTATAGTTCCCCAAACGAACACAGGCTAAGTTGAGCTATGGCTCAAACCGGCAAGCTAGCTTGTTTCAGCGATGCCGCACATGCCCAAGCCCCATATTTGGTTACCTTGCTATGAAGCCTACGTTGAGAATGGTTTCTCCTCACGGGTGAGCGTCTTGCCTATTTGAGGCAGTAAGCTCGGCTCACGCTAGAAATCTCTAGCCAAGTGAACATCACTTCATCGGATACGCACATAGCTTCACACGTTCCAATGATAATTCCAAGTCCAAGTCCAGTTCGGCCTCCGGAGACAGCACTGACTTCAAACGGACCTAACACCTTCATGCCAACTCCGATTTGGGTGATCTTGGACTTCATGAAAAGCTTATCTTGCTACCTTTCAAACGCATCTGGTCTCATATCCAAATTCATTCCGAGTCAACGGAAATCGTCAAAACAAGGCAGTGTTGTTGCTGAAACCGAATTTGGACCTTGGGCCTTGTAATAGACTAGGTCCGTCTCGGAAGTGTCCCCCATGAATGAGCATAAACCCTAGATCTATTTTCTTCTCTAAATGTCTATGTACAGCCTCTAGAACAATTGGGTTTTGTTTAGTTGAATTTTGCCAAGTGCCATTCACCTTGTCTGTAGTCCTCGTTCGATTAGTCGGCGACTATAGATTCAGAGCCCCTAATAGTTGGTGTGTTGATTTGCCGGAATCGATTAGATGTACCACTTCAATCGCAACTATTTCTTTGTGCTTAATTACCTATTAGCAATATTTAGATTGCATCTTATCTTGTTCTCGCAGTGTTCTCTCGTTTGCATTGCAGGAATCATCAACCGTGCGTCACGGTTGGTACGACATCGTTTGTGGTGTAGTGATTGCACGGCGTCCTGGACTTGTTATGGTTGATAGCCACGTTGCAAACGTCGCACTTGATCAAAGCGAGAGTTATCCCCTAACCAGAAGATCGGGCCACGAGAGAGAGCGTCATCACCAAGGATCCAAACGATCAAACATACCCATAATTTTATACTCATTGCTTGCATCACACATCTCAGTACCCCTACAGCTTCTGTCAATAGATCAAATGATGTTGTTATAGCATATAGCCATATAATTTAGCATATATATCTATATCAGTATCCTGTCAGTATTGATGTTGTTGGGCAGAACTCAAGATAGGAAGTAGTGGCTTCATGGCTTCAAGGCACACTTTCAAAACACTCTCTGGGTAATAGCAGCCAGAGTGGAGAACAAGATGAGCCAGCGGGTTCTTATGAATGGTCACAAGGTGACAAGTGACAAGAGCTAGCCAGGAATATACATAGATAACTCTGTAACCTACCCTGAGTTGTTAAATTGGTGGCATTCTCAAGATTCGTCAAATAGCTTACGAATACAAGCTCTTTGGATTTTAATAGTTGCATATGATTTTGCCACACCTGGCCAGTGGCCTTTGAACCGTAATGACAATATGCCATTTTGACCTTGACTGATTCCAACAACTCGTGATGATCTTATGATAGAGTTCAAAAATATTATGAGCTCAGCTCACATATAAACACCAGATGGGATGCTTAAAAACATCAGGTCATACCAACTTATTATCCTCGCCGTTGCAACGGATTTTAATTAATGAAAATTATCATTAACTCGTTATTACCATTATTTTTCATACACGTCATCTTTTAATTTCTACATAAATTTGTTACCGACATGTCGGTCCTTTGGTCCCACATTGTTGTTTTTCCCTTCCCATAAAAAATAGAGAGTTGGTCTTTATCACGTGGGTCCTCTAACCCCCACATATCATTTCTCCATTCCAAAATAGTAGGAAATTAGTGGTGGGGTGATGACAGATTCACCACCACCGCTACTTCTTTTTAAAGGAGTATAAATAAAGTAGCACTAAGATGAGATGCTTGATGTGGTATATGGGGTATCATCATTCCAGACTTGATTTCAACTGCATGTACCAATACTGCAATACAAGGTGTATAGAAAGATAGGTCCTTGTGCTAGACATCACATCATAATGGAACGGCGCACGATGTGCCATCCTTTTAAAGAAAAAAAAAAGAGAGAGGAATGGAAAAAGGAATCCTCTAGCACTGCAGAACCTTGCCAGCCATCCAATAAGGAAAACTTTTTTTTTCTAGTAGATAATGATTCAATAAGGAAAACTGCCAGCTTTCTTTCTTTAATCCCGCAAAAGCAGATATACCTTGAATCCTTGAATTAACACCACCCACCTAGCGATTATGATGTCTTTTGTTAGCTTCCCATGCTCGGAACAATTACAATACCAGCAATGCAACAAAGATCTCATTTTGCAAATCAGCAGTTACAAGCGCAACCGTGGGCAACCAAGTTTTTCTCCTGCGATTTACTAGCACTAACTTCTAAATTTTTTAGTTAGCTCGTCGGCTCACTCCCTTAGCAGCAGTGCTCCGTTAGTCCACTGTTTACCGCCAAAAATTAACTAACGGTTCTTGGATCCTTCCGATGGAGAATCTATGCGCACGAGAGGAAGAAAGCATACGAGCTCAGTCCACTTAATTACAAGGGTGGAAATTCCCCATTTCTCTACACAAAGATCTCGCGCGAGTCGAGCCTGTGGATTCTACGCTAAGCTCTTTTCCTTAAATCATAATCAGTTGAAGCACAAGAAGCGAAGAAGGACATGTAAAAACGACATCGCCAATCAGCAACTATAATGGCACACGCACACGAAGACCACAAAATATAGACATGTAGAGCTAACAGCAGAAGCGAGGGGGGAAGATGTATTCTGAGTACTACTAACCAGCCGCTGAAGCTCTGGGTGCGTTCGTTGGTAGAAGCCGACTCCGCCGCCGCCGCCGCCTTCACCATCATCTTGCCGCCGGCGCTGACGCTGCCGCTGTGATCCATCGGAAAGCAGCTGTAGTAGGAAGGTGGAGGAAATGGGGATGGCGAGGGGCAGGCAGGCACATACTATATGTCGTTATTTTACAGGCGGAAGGAACCACATATGTAGCGGGGGCTCAGGCTCAGCTCACTGATGAAGGGAAGGGACAACAACCCCTCTCTCTGACTCCTCCCTATCGGCTCTCCGCTTCCTGTCCAGGGGATTCTCTGTGGAGTGTGCCAAAGGAACTGATGGTTGGTGCCAAAGGAACTGATGGGCTTGTTCGGTATAGCTGGCTGCGGCTGTAACTGTGCTGCATCTGCAGTATCAATAACATATCTTTGAAAGACGTAAATATTAGGAAATGATCTAATATCAAATAATTAAAAGGGGTGAGGCTTCGAACCCAGATCGTCTAGCCCATCATCTTGTGAAACTAGTCGGAAGACCCCTGGGCCTTTCTCCAATAACATATTTTTGAATTGGAGTTGTTGCGGTGTTGCGGCTGTGTAGCCGCAATAAAGCTGATCCGATCAAGCCAGCGATAGGAAACAAAAGGATCCTCTTAACCCCTTTCAATTACAAGAATAAGAAAACGGAGAAATCATATATACCCTAAATTCAATCGCAAAAATGAGAAATCGAAACTTCATATGTTTTTCCTACAAATCAAAGATACCCTAAATTTATGCTTGTACCACCCATATTATGTATGCACCACTTTACTATGACCCACATGTCAGTGGTTAATTACAAACTACACAAAATTAGGGAAGTCTTATCCCTAGCGACAATATGAGAGCTTTTGGTAGCGCTCAAGCACTCAGCACATGTGGAGCTACGAAGTTTACTCTCTCCATCACAAAATATAGTAAATTAGTACTGAATTACACACGTCATATTTTGAGGATAGAGGGAGTTCTGAGCTCGTGACGTGACAGCTATCGTTGCCGATGAAAAAAGAGTGTCGTGTCTGGCCGTCTAAAAATAAGTAGAGATTAAGTTTTGAACGAGATCATAAGAAAAAAATAACTAATTACAATAAACAACATGATTAATATAGCTAAAATCAAACATAAAACCCAAATTAATTCGTGGCTCCAACCCCATGTCAAGTCACAAGCAAGAGGCTAGCCGGTGCGGACAAAGAAACCTTCGTATGTGGATTGTATTGTACTTCATCCGTCTCAAAATATATAAGATATTTTAATCGATTGGAACACATCGTAATACTACGAGTCTGGATAGATTCATGTCTAGATTTGTAGTACTGAAGTGTATTTTATTCGATCAAAATATCTTATATTTATATTTTAAGATAGAGGGAGTATGGTTTAAGTGGGATTTTTTTTTCATTTTCATAGACATGTCTATAACTAAGCAGATATTTTCTCTTATTGGCTTGGTTAAGCTAATACGGATAATTAAGCACGATAATATTTACGTCTAAGATAAAATTATTGGGACAAATCAAACGATATGAGTTAGGCTGGATGCTAAGGGAAACAAAAAGCACCCTAAGACGTCTACCCGATCTCGCAATCTAAAAAGGAAGTCAGTCGCACTCTTATCTCGTGCGCAGAAGATCCCTTGAAACCATGTGCTCGCAGAGAAACCCATGCTCACAGTCACAGATCAATGAAAAGAAGGCCCACTACTTGCTTATCATCGGAGAATGCTCGGCCCAGCACAAATCAACGCCACATAGCTTCCGAACTGCACGAGTTTCGTTTGCGCCAGAGTGCTGGAATAACTTGTACGAGTACTTCGAAATTTTGGTTATAGCAACCATGTAATCTGGTACCACCAATGTTTTAAATAGCGGGCTAAGACATTTAGTAATTAGCTTCTGAAACAGCTGTAGCGGCAACTATAGCGAGCTAAACGGAGCTATAGCGGCTAAATTGTACATGAGAGCCAATAGTTAGAACACTTGTTAAACAGCTATAGCAGGAGATTCAAAACCCTGGATATGACCGAGATAAACTAGCGCCACTTTTTCTTTCACCGAGATAAAGTATCGCCATTTCTTTATCCTTTTCCCAGATGTTCATATACGGGATATTTGAGTTCAAAACAAATGATTCAGTCGAAACATAAAAGAAACCCAGACTAATTGCCATCCAAGGCCCAGGCTGAAGCGTCGCAGCACGACCGCGTCGAGTGGGAGTGCACAGCATCGCTGCTCGGCTTGGACGCTGGCGTGCGCGTAGTATAGAGGCTACATTAGTAAACTCATAGAAGCATAGCTAAATTAGTAGTTAAGAGTCTTTAAAATAGTCAAAAACTTAATTGCCCTAAATAAGGAAAAAAATATAATGATGGTAGAACTCATAAATCAGTTTCTCCTTTTTACTTGTGATAATACTAACAGTTAAGATCATTTTTACTTAAGACTAATAGAGACCAGACCACTACTCTTGGATCTTAAATCCTCTACTGATCTTCAGCCTTAAACACCCATAATACGCCAATTTCCCCACGGAAACAGAGTAAAAAGGATTGTATGTGAGTTCATACTGAACAGGGTACAGGTCAACCAAAAATATCACAACCTTTTGATGCATAAACATCACAGAGAAGTGAACGTTTTTTTATGTACAAAAACACTCCTCAAGACTAAACAGCTAATCCTCATTCCGTGGGTTAAGTCAGTAGTTTTAGCTTAAGACCTGCTGGCCACTCCCAGCAGCTTATACCATGTTAGAAGCATCTGCTTCACCATGCCACCCATCGCTTACACGGTGCTTGCAAACTGGGCATGTTCCCTGTTGGCGCAACCATGGATCGATGCAGTTTGCATGAAACTGCAAAACAAGTGGGAAAGTAAGTAAACCTTGCAGTCCCACCTCATGACACAAAAAACTAATAGCACCAATGTCAATCCTTCGATGGAAAGCTAAAAACTTGAAAGACAACAGCAAAAAGCCAGTGTATGATAGTTTCACTCATATAGGATAAATCGTATCACTATGAAAACTCGAACATAACAAAACACAGTATATAGTTGTCATTGATGTGGCTATGGTCATTCAAATTTAAATTTTACTAAAAATTGTGAGCATATATGACATATTTGGAACTCAGACCGGTACAAATTTGAATACAAGATTAAGCAGCCAAACCAAGCACAGATCACGTATTTTGTGTAGTGGCCAAGGTTCAACATCAAAGACCATCACAGTCAAACACTCGAACCACACCTTACAGAAACAGGAGAGAGTAAGATACTTAGCATTTAGCATACTGGAAAAAGAAACAATTCCTTTCCGAAACACGATAGCTATAGGAAATGATGCAAAAGTTTTCCCTTTGCTTTTTCACTAAACACACATAAATTGCAAATGGCATCAAATATAGTGGTTTCCTAGCATGTTTTGGGATTTGGTTAACAAAATGTCAGGACAGTTACTATATAACACGCTAACAGGCACCATGATCATAGCACAGCAGATATAACTAGGAAATAAAGCCTGCTATTGCTGTCATACAAAGAAAACAAGCTCAAGATGATTCTAGTATACATGTCTAAAAAAAAGATAATTCTAGTATAATGATTACCTGGTGCAGGCATGGTAGGCTTCTCAATAGATCACCCACAACGACTTGTTCTAAGCAAACACTGCATGTCAACTCATCCTCCAGGGTGTTGTCAGTTGCATCAGCCTTGAAACGATCCTGCTTTTTCTACACAGCAAAAAAAACAAGTCACTAGAACAAGGATAATCCAGACCAAACAGCACAGCTGATTGTAATTCTAGGCATGCTGAGTAATAGACAAATAAAAGTGTAAGCATCAACTTTGTGATTGTTATGGAGCTACCACGGTTGACTATAGTGAACATCAAAAAAGCATTTTAATTCTAAGAAATACCACCACAATATGAAATAACCGCAAAGTAACCAAGTACTCTTTCCACAAATATAATGGATTTTGGGGTTCAAAATATGTCCACAAATATAAGAGATTTTGTAGTACTACTATCCAAATCCATCCAACCACTGTATTTATTGCTCACTGATGGTTGCACCGCTAGGCGTGATATTTCCCAATCAAGAAAACTGCTAGCAGCATCGAAGTAATTTCACCTCGACCTTAAATTCTGCTAAACCACCTAGAATCCTTTATATTTGTTGACGGAGGGAGTAACGCTCAATGATTTCCATCAATACAAGCTAAAGAACACATAGATGGCACATTCTATGCTCCTATCTTAGTCATGCCAGGATGTCAACATGCCTATGCAAACAATAACAGTAGATGCCATTCAAAGAATAACCTCTTCATAATCATGTCAGTATTTATTTATTACCTCATTGCCAGATTCAGTAGAAGAAACAGATGGTTGAGATGGTCCATCACTATAGAATCAAAAGAATTAAATGGTTAGTTACATCCCATACAAAGTAGACAAATTCGGAATTATATGGTTGGTTACTTATCAGAGATGGAAGGCAGTTGTAGACTTATCATGCGTTTGCTATGCCAGCTAAAAAATGTAGCCAAAAGGATAATACATCTTACCTTTTTCGGAAAGAGGCACTTCCCTGATGTGCCTGAACCTTGTATTTGAATACAGGAAGAGCATTTATTTCTTCTTCACTCATCGAAGGAGCATGAGGGCTATTGTCTGCATCCAAGGCCCTAAGGGCATCATAATCTGCAAGCAAAACATCAGCTACAATGTAATGCTTGCAGGAGAGTAAGAAGCAGTATATGAATTAACCTAAGTGAATAAAGTGTATCACCTAAATCATCGAACTCGCGGTCAAGTAGCGCAAGTTGGAGCCTAAGGCTCTGCAAACGGCCTCGTGTGGCGAGAGCTATGGTCGGCGGGACATGCACCCGCAGCTCAGTGTGTCCAAGGAAGCCGTTGGCAGCTGCAGCGTGAGCTTGCGCCTGCGCTTGGAGCTGCTGGCATGTGGCGTACATCCTTAGGCTGGTGGCCATTAGGAACACACCCAAAACCAGCCAAACCTACAAGAGACAATTCCGCGCAACCCGACAAATCATGAAATTTCTCCATCAAGCTATATAAGCATAATACATACCATCAATTGATAACTTACCAAAAAGTTCGGAGACATCTGGTGTGAGTTCAGTACCATGAACAACATAAGAACTGCCCAAAAAGAATAATAGATCGCATTAACTAGAAAATCGATATTTTTTACAGCTTAATAATATCGGTAGTACAAAGGGCATGCCCACATTACCAGTGACAAGAAAAGCCAGGTTGCTGTTCACCGGCCGACCACCCGCATGAATCCGCTGCATACAAGCCCCCCCACACAGATGGGAGTCAGAAATTCATAACAAAAAAAGATCTACTTTAGGATGCCAAAACCTACATTTAAGCAGAAACGCTCACCATGGCGCGGCGCTCCGGGGCGAACCCCGGGAAGCCTCCGGCCTCGATGTCACCTCTGCTCCCCCGGAACACGAAGCTCATGGCGCCAACCAGCCACCACCACCACCACCACCACTAGTCTTACGAATTGCTCCAAATCCGCCTCCTTGCCGCCCCTCCGAGGAACAAAAAAACTCGACGAGGCCACGCCCCTGAAGCCCAGCAAAGCCACCGACAAAATATGAGGAAAGCGACGCCCCAACCAAAACCCTACCTAGAAAATCCCCCACGGCTCCCATGTCCATGACGCCTCAACGCGGGAAACGCCCAGATAAACCCCCGAAGGCTACCAGAAGTCAAGAGAACCTTCGCCCAGATTCTAGGGCCTGCCTGATCTTGAAACAGCCGCGGAATCGAGTAACGAGCGTGACTCTCGAGGAGGGGCACTCACCTGATCGGCGACGAGGGGCCTCTCGAGGCGGCGATTCGCTGGCGCGCGGAGGCGTCGGCGCGACGAGGAGCAGCCGGTGCGGATGGGGAAAACGAGAGCGAGCAGTAGAGAGGACTTAGGGGGGGGGGGGGGGGGGGGAGCTGCTAGAAAGATGGGGAAGTTTTTTTTTTCTTTTTTCTTTTTGCAGTTTCAGATCCTGCGCGCTGCGTAGCCTCTGCCTCCTAGTTGCAAATTTGGATGACACGTGGCTACATAATGGCCGCCTATTGGATGATGGGTGGACGAAACTTTTTTCTCGTGCCAAAACAGAAACGGTTATTTTTGTGCTTCCAGCTGGGATGGGAAACGGCAAGAACATGTGGTTTCTGCAGAAATTGCTCTATTTAGTGCCTTTCATTTGGAGAAAAACATAGAAATTTTTAGAGAGTTTTTTTTATAAAAAACTAAACCGACAGGAGAACTGCCAATTATATTTCATTAAGTAGGAGTAAAAATCCAGACAGGCTTAAAAAGCACGGAGCTCCATACCACTCTAGCCAAAACTATCAACGAAAACAATAGCGGAATCCAAGGACGAACATCGATGTCGAGATGCTGAAGAGGCGGCACATAGCGTTGACATCACAAGGCACGTGTCATCGTTGCCGAGCAAGCCGCCCAGCGACCCAGCAGCTCCGACTCCACGGCGATCACGACATCATTGTAGGCACTGCCAAACCAAGCAAAGCAACACCAAGCTCACACTTTGGACATCAGCCAAGCCCCTGAAGCGCCAAAGCCTGCACTGGCAACAACCACATTCCTAAAGAGAAACTGCAAATGTTATCGATGCCAAGCTTCATCGCACCCCAACGACGTAGCAGCTCCGACTCTACCCGACAGAGACAGACGAAGAAGCTGGATGCCACCAATACAAGAAAGGAGACAAGAAGAAGAAGGCCTCGCCAAGCACATAGGCATCTAGTGCATCGAGCTGACACAGGAGTCCACCAACAGCAAATGGTGCATGGGTAAGGTTCTCCAAGACGATGCCCCCAAGGAGGAAACGACTTGAAATACCACCACCGCCCGTCCGGAAACCGGATCACAGTTTTCACCTGGAGATTGGTAGCGGTGGAGAAAAATGCCATAACGACGCCTCCAAGAAGGAAACGACGCCAAAGGTGTCGCCGTCGTCGTGCCAACCAAAGGCTAAGCAAGGCTTTCGCCAACGATTTCCGTCTAGTGCCACCACTGACCCACACAACAGCCGTCGTCGAACCACCACATCATCTTATCAGCCACCAGTTAGCCCAGTTCACCACCCCATGGCTTAGGTAGGCTCACGGCCTGCTCTCGCATGTCGCCATGGCACCGTCGTCCTTTGCACAAGCCACCGCGTCCACCCTCTCCCGAAGCTCCCCATGGCTAGGACAGGATCTGGCCATAGGAGGGGAGGAGCTCCACGAAGGTGGGTTTTTTCAGCCGGCTGGGAAGAAGAGACGCCTCCGCCGCCACCCGCTTCCCCGTGCACAGGCCAGAGAGAGGCAGCAGCTGATGCACGGTCCACAAGCCGCAGCCACCGTCGTGCAGGTCCTCGTGCTGCGATCGCTGCCGCCTCCGCGCGGCCCTCATGACGCCGCCGCCGCCGCCGTGCGGCCCTCGCGCCCGCCGCCTCCGCGGCCGACCCACGCATCTAGCACAGATCCGACCAAGGAAGGGCCGGATCCGAACTCGATGGCGCCGGATCTGGCCATCGTCACCGGGCTGCGCCTCTCGTGCTTCGGTCTCGTCGGCGCCCCAACCATTTGACTAGGAGTAAGGGGAAAGGGGAGCCCTGCCGCCGCCGTCTTTACAGTCGCCCGGCTTTGACGGCGGCTGCTCGGGCGGCAGCGAGGCGGGGAAGAGGAGGGGAAGGGAGGGGGCGACGATGAGGTTTCGCCGCCCGCGTCACCCCTGGGGTGGAGCGACCGGGGCGCCCGTCCGACTAGCCTCGACTTCTTTTTCTTTAGAGAGTTTATAATATAGAAAAAGTTCTATGAATGCTTAATGCTTTTGAAACAAAGAATTGAATCCTATTATATCATTTGAAATTCCTATTGTACAGATAATTCAATAGAGATTTTGGAGGAAATTTAGCAAGGTCTTCAATGAGTCTATATTTCTCATCCTATCGTATGTTTTTCCTACGGTCCAATCAAATGATAATTCATGTTTGTTTTTCTGTATTTTGCTATTCTTTGTTTTGCACTTGGTTTCGTATTAGAATATTGTGTTTTTTCTATAGTTCTAGCTAGGTCACATAAGTAACATGAGCTAGTCGATTTATTACCCAAGATTGACAAAGAACAGATATCAAGTAAATATGGCACAAGCGAGCAGATAGGTAATACCCGGATCCCATGTAATTAGCAAAACATGCATATTTATTTGTAAACGGTAAAACATTTATAAATTGGGATCAACATGCTCAAGGGGAATGTGTGACTTGCCTTGCTTCTTCACTTGGATCTTCTGAACTCTTATCCTTGCGAACGCGATCTTCCGAAACGACGGGAACTACACGCTGGCACTCAAAACGAGGAAAAATCTAATAAAAACCAAGGAAACAGTACATAAAAAGTAAACAAACATGTAGAGCTCAATTTTAGATGAGTTTTGCAAGTTGAATGGCCCAATTTGGAGTTCGTATGAATTAGATATGAATTTTAGAAGTTTTGAGCCATTTAAATGAATTTCTAGAATTAAACTCGATTTATTGCGCAATTATTATATATTTTCACAAAGGAAAAGGACTGCCGCTGACGTCAGCAAGAGAGGGGGCCGGCGCCGACAGGCGGGGCCCGCATGTCAGCGAGACGAGGTGGCGGTCCACCGTGGACCGGGACCACAAGGACGGTCCACCGCCGGTCCACGGGTTGGACGGCCCAGATCGGCCAAGGCCGATCGGACGGCTGGGGACGGCCGGGCAGCGCGCAGATGGCCAGACAACCGGCGGCGGCGGCGCAACGCGGCGCTGGCACGGGAGGCGGCCGGCGAAGAGGAAAAGGAGGAGGGAGGCGGCTCACCGAGAGGCGCGGCGACGGAGGGAGAGGCCGCGGAGGGAGGCGGTGGCGCTCCACGGGGCGAAGACGACGGCGGCGATTCGGCGGTCTCCAACGAAGGTGGAGGAGCGGCCGGGGTACGGGGGAGCGCGGCGAACGCAGTAGAGGCGGTGGTGTGGCGCGAGGTGGCAAGGAACAGCGGTAAGAGGCGGCCGAAGGCGGCAAACGCGGCGACGTCCTCGGCTTCGCGGTGGAGATGGTGTTGCTGCGGTGGAACGGGAAAACGAAGCAGAGGCCGGGGTGCTACGCGATGCGGCGAAGCCGACGGTGGCGGTGGCGTGGCTTGGTGGTGGCTAGGGCGGCGGTGGCGCGCTGCCGGAGTCGGCAAAGTGACGGTGGAGCTCGGGTTCACGGTGGAATCGGTGCCCGGGTGGTTTATTGCGGAAGCGGAGCGGTGGACGGGATGCGGCAAAGCGCGGCGAGGCCGGCGATGCAAGCGGCGCGGCACGGGGACGGCGGTAGCGGCGGCAGCGGCCGGCTGGAGTCCGCCAGCGAGCGGCGGCGCTTGGGCTCACGGGGAGGAGGGGGTTCCGGGCATGGGGGAGCTTGGGAGAGAGGGGAAAATGGAGGAGGGGAGCACGAGGGTGCTTTATATAGGGCTCGGGGATGGAGATCGTGGCCGGGAGAGGCGGGATCGGCCGGTGACGTGGGGAGGTGAGGTGGAGCTCGTGGGGAGGTCAAACCGGCGCCGTTTCTTGCGGGGTGAGTGGGGAAAAAGGTGGAGGACGTGGAGGGGGTCGTGTCCACGTGGTTGGATGCGAGCTCGGGTGCAGGAGGGCGCCGGATTTTGCGGCGACGTGGGCGGCAATGGCGGTTGGGGTTGGCCGGCGAGAGGTAGGAGGAGGAGCTGACGGGTGGGTCCGCCGGTCCCACCTGTCGGCGAAGGGAGAGAAGGAGGGACGCAAAACAGACTTTTGCGAGCGGGCCAAGGGGGAAGGGAGCCGGCCCGAGAGAGGGAGGAGGCGCGCGGGCCGCGGGAGAGGAAGGAGGGGGAGGAATTTGGGCCGAGCCCGAAAGGGAGGAAGGGGAAGGAAGGAGAATTAAATTTGTTTCCTTTTTACTTAATTGGTTAAATGATCTGTGTGACTTTAAAATTATTTATTGAGCTCCGAAAATTTGCGGAAAAATCCGGAGAGTATTTTAGGGCACAAAGAATATTACAAAATATTCTCGGCCAATGATTTTTAAAGGAAATTTTAATTTCCTCTATAATTTCACTTGATTAAATTGATTTAACTTTTAATATAATTTCTTGAAATGCATTATTAATTGATTTTTAATCCCGAACGAAAATCGGGGCGTTACAAATTTGTCACGCCCAGAAATTTAACCCAAATTTCCAGACTATTTTGCGTATTAAATCCCTGTCCAGGACCAGCCAGGGTACACAAAACGACAAGTAATATACAGTTCGAAACGTAAATAAAGCGTAAAATACTTACGGAAGAGGCACTTAGTCCTCACACCGAAACAGAACGACAGCAGCGGAAAAAGGCGATCCTAGCGGGGCTTCAGCTCCACTCCACAGGCAAAACTCAACTGGGGTCTGAGCCTTGGTCCTCTAACTCCATCTTCAGCTCAGAAGCACTACACTTCTGAAAAAGGGGGAATAATAGCAAGACTGAGTACAACCACCGTACTCAGCAAGCCACACCAACGATGCAGACGTGCAAGGGGATACAAGGAGGGGTTTGTGGCTATTTGCATAAAGGCAGTTGTAAAACATTTTATTGAGCAAAACAGTAAAACTGTTGAGTAATTAAAGTAACATTAAATCTCCACTGATCAACGCTACACCACGTTGAACAGGCCCAACCAACCCACCTGAACTACAGTGTATTGGGTCGATTTATTAAGATGGGACTAATCACGGTGAATCTGGTCGACCGCCCATAACCGCGGGCACGGCTATTCGAATAGTTTTACTCTGATCAGAGGTGTACAACTGTACCCACAAGACACAGCCCCACAACACGTTTCCGTGTGCCGACATGCCGCCACGACATACCGGAAAGAGGCCGTGACAGGACCCTTCGCATAACCCCCTCTAGCCA